CCTGGACGACGTCGATCGGCTTGTACTCTCTGGCGACGAACGGCTCGTTGAAGAGGAATATGGGCTTGATTCCAAGTGTCTTCACTGCGTTGTAACCAGTCATTCACGGCGGGGACATTCGTGGGTTCTCCTGACCATGGAAAGAGGGGCGGTTGAAACCCCAGCATACACTGGAACGGAGTCATGCCGGTAGAATGTTTCTGAATGGAGTTCTGGGCATACTCGGCCCATACCAAATAGCTGCTCCAGTCCTCCTGATGTTGATGACAGTAGGAGCGTAGGAATTGTATGACCTCTTGATTCATGCGTTCTGCCTGCCCGTTTGATTGAGGATGATACCCTGAAGTGAGACTGATGTTGATCTGAAGGGACTTGAAGGCTAACCAGACTTGAGACGTGAATTGGGGTCCTCTATCAGAGACAATGTCCTCGGGTAGGCTGTAAAATCGGAAGACCAGGTTGCAGAGGTGCTCCGATGTTTGTAAGGCAGTAGGGAGCTTAGCCAGGGGTATCAGGCGGCAGGCCTTGGAGAACCTGTCCACAACGGTAAGGATGGTGGTGTTACCCTCGGAGATAGGCAGATCGGTGATGAAATCGAGGGCAATATGTGACCATGGGCGTTGTGGAATGGGAAGAGGATGTAACAGACCGGCAGGTAGTTGGCGTGAAGATTTCTGGGTATTGCAGATTTGGCAGTGTCGGACAAAGTCGGTGGTGTCTGAAGCTAAAGAGGGCCACCAGTAGCGATTTTGTAGCAGCTGAATGGTGGTAGTTATTCCCGGATGTCCAGAGCTGGGAAGAGCATGAACGTGCTCCAGGACCTGGTTCCGGAGCGTATCGGGGACATAAACCCGGTTGGGTGGACAGGCAGACGGGATCTCTGATCGGGAGTTGATTTGCTCAATCTCGGTTTCAACGTCCCACTGAATGGGAGCGACAATGAGGTCTGGGGCCAGAATTGTCTTGGAATCTTGTGCTGTGGGCTCGTGGTCACATTGACGTGATAAAGCATCTGCCTTGGTGTTCTTGGAACCTGGACGATAGGTGACTGTGAAGTGGAATCGGGTAAAGAACAGTGACCAGCGAGCTTGTCTAGGGTTCAGTCTCTTGGCGGTGCGTAGGTATTCCAGGTTCTTGTGGTCGGTGAAAACGGTAAAGGAGTGATTAGCACCCTCTAACCAATGCCGCCACTCTTCGAAGGCGGCCTTCATGGCTAGAAGTTCTCGATCTCCCACATCGTAATTCCTCTCAGCAGCATTTAGTTTGCGGGAGTAAAACGCACAGGGATATAGTTTGGGTGGTGACCCCTGACGTTGAGAAAGAACAGCTCCCAAACCGGTGTTGGAAGCATCCACTTCTACCACGAATGGTAATTCAGGGTCAGGATGGGTGCTGTGGTGAAATGCTGCTTGAGCTGATTAAAGGCTTGGGTGGCCAACTCATTCGATGGAAGACGATGAGTTCCCTTCTTCACCAGGGATGTGAGTGGGCTTGCCACTGAACTGAAGTTTCTTATGAAGCGGCGATAAAAGTTAGAAAATCCGAGGAAGCGCTGCAGTTCTTTCAGGGTGGTAGGTTGTGGCCATTCTAGGACTGCTCTGACCTTGCCCTCGTCCATGGCGACTCCTTCTGGGCTGATGACGTACCCCAAGAATGTAGTGGAAGTCTGATGAAACTCGCACTTCTCCAGTTTCGCGTATAGCTGGTGCTGGATAAGCCTCTGGAGAACGGCTCGAACATGCTGCACATGGTCAGTCAGGGTGTCAGAGTAAATCAAGATGTCGTCGATGTATACTATAACTGATTTTTGAAGCATGTCTCTGAACACGTCGTTTATGAACGACTGGAAGATGGAAGGACTGTTCCCCAGGCCGAAAGGCATAACCAAGTATTCGTAGTGCCCTGTGCTGGTGGAGAAGGCCGTCTTTCACTCGTCCCCCTCCCTGATACGAATGAGGTTATACGCACAGCGTAAATCAAGTTTGGTGTAGTACCTCGCGGAGCGGAGCAACTCCAGGGCGGCTGGTACCAAGGGAAGTGGATAGCGGAACTTGACAGTAATGTTATTCAGGGCAAGATAGTCAATGCAGGGTCGGAGTCCTCCGTCCCTCTTCTGGACAAAGAAGAAACCGGCAGACACCGGAGACGTGGAAGGTCGAATGAAACCCTTTGTGAGTTCCTCCTCAATATATTTCCTCATGGACTCGGATTCAGATTGGGAGAGAGGAAATATACGACCCTTGGGAAGTGTGTGCTCTGGTAGTAAGTCAATGGCGCAGTCACTGACACGATGAGGTGGGAGTTTAGAGGCATTTATTTTGCTGAAGGCTTCTGATAGATCGTGATATTCGGAAGGAAGATTGTTCGTGCTGGTTCTCCCCACCGGTAAAGTTATCACCCGGACAGGTGATGGAGCGACCTGGACAAGGCATTTGGAGTGGCATGAATCGCTCCAGCGAGAAATTTGATTGGTTCTCCAGGAGATTTGGGGATCATGTTTGCGAAGCCAGGGCAGGCCTAAAATCACAGGTGTGTGTGGAGCGTGGAAGACGTAAAATTGTATGATCTCACGGTGGAGTGCCCCAGTTTGTAGATGGGAGTTCCTGGGTGATGTGAGAAACATGACCTGAGCCTAGTGGTCGTCCATCGATGGCCTCGACTGTGAGAGAAGAGGGACAACGAATTAATGAGATGTTATGTTGTTGAGCAAAATCTGCAGATATGAAATTCCCAGCGGCTCCGGAGTCCACTAAAGCAATGGTGGTAATCTGCTGGCCATTGGCCGTGATCACAACAGGCACGGATACACATGAGTTGGGGTTTGATGCATCGACATTGAGACTCACCGGTCGAGATGCAGTTAGACGTGGTCTGGATGGACAGGCAATACGAAGATGACCAGCCTCGCCACAGTACAGATACAGGTGACGAAGGATCCTTCGATCTCTCTCCTCTGCAGACAGATGGTAAGTGTTGATTTGCATGGGCTCGGGTTCTTCAGTGCGAGCGGAGATTGACGCTCGGGGAACTGGGACGTTGCGGAGAGCAGGAATAGTGCGATGGCTCGCTCGGCGAGATCGTATGAGGTTGTCAATTTGAATGGTGAGGTTTATGAACTGGTCGAGGTCTTTACCCTCATCACGACAGGCTAACTCGGACTGTAGTTCGTGATTCAAGCCTCTTCGGAAGACCACTTTAAGGGTGTCGTTATTCCAGGAAGTCTGCGCAGCAAGGGTGCGAAAAGTAAGAGCATATTCAGCTGCAGTAACTTTACCCTGCGTGAGTTCAAGCAGACGATCGCCAGCACCTTTCCCCTCCTTAGAATGTTCGAAGACCTCACGAAAGCGTTGGATAAACACATTGTATGGCGGAAATGCAGTTCCATCATCCCTCCACACTGCCGTTATCCAATCCAAAGCCCTCCCAGTGAGTAACGAGCAGACATAGGCGATCTTACCAGCTTCGGTGGAGTAGTGTGGGTTGTTGTGCAATGAATAGAGAGCATTGGAGAATGAACCCCTTACACTTGTAAGAATCTCCGTTGAACTTTTCTGGATGCGCGAGACGAGGACCCATGGTAGGTGGAATTTCGGCAGGATGGGGAACGGCAGCTGTGGCTTGAGTGGGCGACTGCTCTGATGACGACCTTTGAAGCCTTGTACTGCTTTGACCAACTCCTCAGTTAAAGAGGTGAGACGACTCAACTGATGGTGATGGGCAGCAAGTTGACCTGCTTGGGCAGAGAAGGCTGCAGTCAAGGTTGATATAGCTGCTGGATCTTGAGGTGGCGAAGTCTTCTGTTGCGAATCATCAGAATCAGAGAGATCCATTTGCAGCTTAATTTATTGAGCAGAATAGTCAAACAGGCAAAGGTCAGAACCAGCAGATACAGCAGTGAAGACAGGGCTGAATCGTAGAACAATACCAGGCAGAAGATCAGGGCAGGCAGCAAACAATCAAGGTCAAAGAACAAAGCAGAGGTAACGTAGGCAGGTAGCAGACAGGGAGATATTCACAACGGGCAGGGTCAACAAAACAATCAGGCAGTCACAGAAATAAACGCTCAGAAATGTTCACAGTAGCAAAACAAGACTTCGCACTGAGAGCTGCTTGCAGTGCAGCTAAAAAGCCTAGTAAATGAGAGACAGCTGGGCATGGTGATTAGAATCAGAACCGGGGCTATTGGGAAATGTAGTGTGGTGAGGGAGTCAATATTCAGGCGAGGGTGCCCTCTGATGGCTGGAGAGTGAGGTTACAGAGTCTGAGATTGTGACACTCACCTTTTTACAACAGATTTTGTTCACAAACAACTGACAGTCGTGACCTAAATCTAATTTTTATTTATAATAATCAATCCTAAAATTCGGCATTTGTAACTTACTTTTCGGGCCAACGGTCGCGCTTGTACTCAAGTCTAGAGGATCTCTCGGTTGGCTAATTTTCAGTCAGACTTGTGAATTCAGTTAACTGGAGACTCGCTCTAAACGGATAATTCGGTGAGTTGTTGACTCGAGAACATCTGCGATCGGATCAGTGTAATTCACAAATGAATAGTATGGTGTGATTTGCGAAATGATTTAACAGATTCATTAAAAAAGAATCAGCTCGTTCATGAATTGGACACTGGTGTTGCTTCTTGGAGTGTGTGTGTGTGTGTGTGTGTGTGGGAGAGATTGTGTATGTGAGTGTGATATTATGCTTTAAAATGTAGTTCTAGAATGTAGTATAATATAAAATTTCAAAAATAAAAATACTCTAGTAAAGTATGCAGTGTGAAAAGTACAAATACTTAAGTACTGTAACAAAGTAAAATACTTTTTTTGCTGTCCACCACTGATCATAATCAAGTTTTAATCATATTAACAAGTGAATCACAAAACCGACCTTTGTATATCAAAGATACTTTATCCTGAGAGGTGTTTTCTTTTCTGCTAAGTGATTTTTATTTGAACATTTAATCTCATTGAACTGATTCTAACTGATTAATATGTTTATTTTAGACCAGATGGAAGTGAAGGAGCAAATACTGAAACTAAATGACGTCAATAAATACTGTGACTTCAAAAGTCAAGGAAGAAAAGCCAAAAAGCTGCACTCCTGCTCTCAGTGTGGAAAGAGTTTCCAAAAAAAATCAAATCTTAACACACACATGAGAATTCACACTGGAGAGAAACCGTATCCATGCACTCAGTGTGGAAGGAGTTTTTCTCAAGCATCAGCTCTCAGTGTTCATCAACTCCGTCACTCTGGAGAAAAACCATTTAACTGTGACCAGTGTGGTAAAGATTTTAAGTCATCATCAAGTCTAAAACAACACCTGAAAGTTCATTCAGATGAGAGGCCTTATGTGTGTTCTCTCTGTGGAAAGAGTTTTTTAAGGCTGGACAATTGTAAACATCACCAGAAAACACATGATGAAGTGAGAGATCTTGTGTGTTGTGACTGTGGGAAGAGCTTTACATTTACCCAACTGAAACGGCACCAAAGAATTCATTCGGGAGAAAACCACTGTACTCAGTGTGGAAAAAGTTTCACAAATAAAGGAGACCTTAACAAACACGCAAGAATTCACACTGGAGAGAAACCGTATACATGCACTCATTGTGGAAAGAGTTTCACAAATAAAGGAGACCTTAACAAACACGCAAGAATTCACACTGGAGAGAAACCGTATGCATGCACTCAGTGTGGAAAGAGATTTTCTCGTGCATCAACTCTCAATAATCATCTGCGTATTCACTCTGCAGAAAAACTATTCAACTGTCATCAGTGTGGTAAAGATTTTAATTCGTCATCAAATCTAAAACAACACCTGAAAGTTCATTCAGATGAGAGGCCTTATGTGTGTTCTCTCTGTGGAAAGAGTTTTTTAAGGCTGGACAATTGTAAACATCACCAGAAAACACATGATGAAGTGAGAGATCATGTGTGTTGTGACTGTGGGAAGAGCTTTACTAGAGATGACCATCTGAAACTGCACCAAAGAATTCATACTGGAGAAAAACCTTACAAGTGCTCATACTGTGACAAGAGTTTTACTGTGTCTGGAAACCTGAAATCACACGAGCGACTTCATACTGGAGAGAAGCCGTACTACTGTACTCAGTGTGAGAAATGTTTCAAACATTTATCAAGCCTTTACAATCATAGGAAAAAATGTTGCACATGAGCAACAATCTTTTTAATGCCAAATACTTCACTGTGAGATAAAAAAGTGAAAATCTTGGGAAACTAGAAAGGCTTGAGATTCGAAGCTTCACCAGTCAACAACTCTTACAGTGTAAATAAAATATATTGTGTGTATTGTGTGCTAAATATGTCTTTATTAAAAAATTAATAGATTCATGTTATTTTCTTATTTACTAAATTTACTAAATTGTCTTCTGATAGTACGTCTAATTATAAGAAATATAAACAGAAACAACATCTTGTCTTGAAAGATCTATTTAAATGATCACAGATAATGAGTTATATATAGTTTTAACAACATTAATGAGATAAAAAATTCTACAAAGAATTCGGAAGAAAAAAAAACGAACGAATTCTAAGAAGAATTCTAGACTGGGCTCTGTCCAGTAGGGCTCCATATTTACCCATTTGCATTTTTTTTTAATTTGTTAACTTAAATGTCAGTCAGATATGATAAGCCACATTTCCACTGTCAGTCCTGTGCGAGCGAGGACTATTAACAGATATCAAATGAGTTTCACATAAAAGAACATGTACTTATTCAATCAGTTTGCTCCTTTTTATTTGTGGTCACGGGACTGCACAAAACAGCCCTCTTTCAGCCTTTAGTTCGAAAGAGAACATAAAAAAAAATCAAACATTTGATGTTTTTGTCACCTTTCTTTAGTTAGATATATTTCTATTAAGTTGCCACTAAAATAATAAATTGAGTGTAGTTCATCTCTCGCCCGTCTCACTATATAATGATTTATTAACAAAGTTCTGGAGGAGCACATTCAGATAATAAACATAATTAGCACAAGAGGAGCGCATTCAGTTAATCATCTCAATTATCGATATAAGAGGTATATATTCAGCAGACTTAGCTTAGTTTGTTGACCATTTATCCGCATCCCCCCACCACCCCGTCTCCTCACTTCTAGTTCTAACTATTCCTATCACAACTTGGGGGAGTACTCTGGGTTCGGGCCAAATTCCCAGCTCCGAGCCCTCCCCCCGGACAGCACACCAAATACACATAACCATTACTCTGTTTAATTATATGTACAGTAAGTGTAAACTAGTGAAACTGTAACTGTCTCCTGTCACACTGAGGAAGAAATGTCATAAATAACAAAAATGCCCCCATAATTCAAGATATTCCCCTGGTTCCAGAGACAAGACTTAAGCTAGTCCCAGACTAAAATGCATGTTTGAGGTGTTTTAACTGAAAGCAACTTGCACTGATATATCTTAAAGTATATCAATGTCAGTGCCATTGTTTTGTCTCAAGATGCACAACAGTAATGTTTTTTTTTTTTTTGCTAAAGTATATTTATAAAAAGCTAATTCAACTAAGGCCTAATTCGGCTTAATCTGAGCCCTGTCTGTGAAACCAGGTCATAGAGTTTTTTCTCTGTTTTCTTTTTAATATTTATATGATGTAGGATCAATACAAGCAAGTGTGTGGTTGTCCCAGATATTAGCATGATCGCAAATGTGAAATTGAAATGTGAAAATGTGAATCGGTTCCATAAACAAGTTATTTATGGGTAACTTTAATTTTAGACAGAAGAAATGTCTGTCAACATAAATAGATTTTATTTAATATTTATGACATTTGTTTAAACAACTTCAGGTAACTGCAGAAGTCATTTGTATCTGGACCCCATTAGCAGCTTTCATTGGCCAAGGACCGCCCAGAGGCCGCCTAACTGACATTGAGGGCATGAAAAGACAATGTCTTACAAAAACAGACCGGCATGTAAAGTGTCTATGCCGTGAAGCCGGAGGTACCAAGAATCGCCACCAACTTTCTTGATCTTTTTGCTGCTGTGCCTTGAACAGGGAAATAGCTCCCTCAAGGAACATTTAACCAATTATTTGGCCCATCAAACGACCTTCCCAGATGACTACCTGTGCTCGTTCCTGCTTGCCGGTCTCAACCCCACCACACGAGCACAGTCGTCCGGGGAGGCGCCTCGAGGGAGCTTTGCTGCATTTGTGGAGTGGCTGCATTCACTGTCAAGGTCACCACCAGTGCCCCTCCCAACCCAGTGCCCGTACCACCCCGCTGCGAGGAACGACAGTTCGTGCCCACCGCAGACGGAGAGAACACTTGGCCGCAATGTCGGAGCCCGTGCCAGAAGGAGCGATCGAGTCTGACATCATACCTGAGCCTGAGGGGACCCTGTCTGACCAGATGAGTAAGGCGACCTACTCATCCATCGCCACCTCAGCCTCCTCTCAGTGGTACAGCTACCCCTCGGACCCCCTGGAAGCCATCGCTGCCTGGATGTCCGAAGCCCGTGGCTCCGTGTCCTGCATCTGAGGGCTCCGCTCCACCTCGACCCATCCCCCTGGCTCCTGCGACCATCAGCCATACGGCCTCGCTGGGCTACCTCGGTACGTAGGCTCCACTAGGGACCATCGGTCATTCGGCCTTGCCGGGCTCCCTCGGTACGTAGGTTCCACCTGGGTCAGAAATTGTCACGCCTCCACTGCAGATTTGCGGGCCTTTCACTACTCTTCAGCCCTCCACCCCTTCGGCTCCAGCCAGCTCTGCCCTCCTTCAGACTCTGCCTCCGCCCTCGATCGCTCCAGCTCCACCTCTGCTATCCAGATCCCCACTTCCACCTCGGGTGGTCGTCCCTGCTGCTCCGTCGTGGCCGCCTAGGTCTTCGGTCTCTCTCCACCCCATCGGCTCTCCGTCTGTGCAGTGGGCTTCACCTCCATCAACGTCGTCGCCTCCAGCCGTCCTCAAGGTGATTTTACACTTCCTTACACCATGGTTCCTCCCTCCTGCGCCGCCGCCATGAAGTGTATTCCTGGCTGTGGCCTGGGTCTCAATCTGCACACCCCTGTTCAAGGCCATCCCCTGGTTATTTCCACCACCTGCACCACCCTGGACTCTCTATTCGTTCATCCCTCTCCTGGATTTTGGCCCTCCACAAAAATCTCCTCTATCCATCTGTCGGCGTGAGGTCGCGCCTTTCCAGCAGTGGGCGTACTGTCACACACACTGGTTGGACTTAGTTTTCAGTTTGCTCCTTTTTCCTGAGTTCGTTTGTTGTCATGGTTGTTGATTTGATTGTCATTCTGTTCAGCTGTGCGCATCTCTTTATCATCAGTATTTAAGTTCATGTCTTTTACTCTTTAGTTGGTCAGGTATTGTCTGCGTTACGTGTGTGTATAGCTCTCTCTGTTTTTTAAATATATGCCTTTGGATTAATTAAAAACTGGCGTTTCTCTTGATCATCTTGTTTGTGTTGAACATCTACACAGCACTGTGACAGACATCACCATAATGAAAGAGGTGAAAACTGGGAACTTTTAGAAACAAAGGAGCTTTACAGCAGTTCAGTTAAACATGATGGCTGTTATTTCTTTCAGACTTTGGACAAGAACTGAACAAAAACCTTATTTTACATGCAGTTAATAATTAAATAATCCATATTCATAACAGAGAATATGTTTTCACTTAATTTAAATGTAACTAAAGTGATTCAGTATAAATTCTGTAACTTTTAGATTTTTCCAGATCTGGTTCTGTGGGCATCCGAGAAATCCGTAATTTTAACCCGTGTTATGGAGCGTATCATTGCGTCGCCTGTCACTGACGTCAGTCTGCTCTACCCTGGATTTCCAGTTTGACTTTCATAAAAACCATGGAAACAACAAAGACGCTTCAATGTATTATGTGTTTAATTAGACAGGTGAGCAAAACGAATCATTGTTATACAGCTCAACACGGTTAGTCTTATTGTTAAATTTGCTGGTTTTCTTTATTTACCGTGAGTACCATGTTTTACCATAACTCAAAGACAATACTATTTTGTCAAGTGGCTAACATAGCATAATCAGAGAGAGCTTTCTCCATCATACATTCTAAAATTAATTGCATGTCATTATTAAGCAAACGTCATTTAGTCATCCAGCTTTTATTAAAATAATATTCTAATATCAATCTAACTTACTGCATTTGCTCCCACGGCTCTCGGTCCGGCCTGCTTCATACCATCATGGCGATAATAAAACGAATCGGTTACCTAACGTAACCTCGGTTCTCTCTAGATGAGGGAACGAGTATTGCGTAAGCTAGCTTACGCTACGGGAAAGATTCATCTTTTCTGAGAATTTGAAGCCAAAAAATTATCCTATAATTTTGTATCCATTGTCAACGCAGTTCAGCTGCAGCAGACCATGAGCGGGCTAGCTAGCAGCTCATTGGTTCGCTCACAGAGAACTGCTGAAGCCTATGAGGAGACGCGAATGAACTCTCGACCAATGAGAGTCTGACCCGCTCTCATTGCGTCAGAACCCGCCGAAACGGGCGTAGTCAGAGAGTATAAATAGCGTCCCAGGCTGTAAACTCTGATTTTCATAGAATGAAGCGAGAACGCTAGGAGCACAAGCACGGCCAGGAACACAATACTCGTTCCCTCATCTAGAGAGAACCGAGGTTACGTTAGGTAACCGATTCGTTCTCTTACGAGAGGTTCTCTCGTATTGCGTAAGCTACCTTACGCTACGGGAACACCTGGTCAACGCCGTGCGTGCTAAGCATCCACTATGAGTCCCAGGGGAGACCCCGGGGAACCCTTATGAGTGGGAATAATTATATGTACCTGTGACAAAGGCCCGCAGAGCGGGCCGGAGATTTTGTAGTACATAAGCACATGATAGAGAGGGACAGAGCGAAAACCGGTCTGTGTGAATGACTCCCCATAGTGCAGCTCAACCAGAAGAGCTGTAACATACTAGACTGCTAGTAGTTTAGCCTGCAAGGCGGGAACTTCCAGATTGTAAAATCTGACAAAGGTGGAGGGGGAAGCCCATCCCGCTGCCACACAAATGTCATGAATGGAAATTCCGCTGGACCATGCCCACGATGAGGCCATGCCTCTAGTGGAATGAGCCCTGATGCCCAGAGGGCATGGCAAGTCTTTTGATGCGTATGCGGCTGCAATGGCATCAACTATCCATCTGGATAGAGTCTGTTTCGAGGCGGCCAACCCCTTGGTGCGCCCACCGAACGAAACAAAAAGCTGCTCGGATCGTCTGACCGGAGCAGTGCGAGTGATGTATAATCTCAGGGCCCTGACCGGACA